ACACACGCACACACACACACACACACACACTCATATATATATATATATGTATGTATATCCATACGTATTTGAGAGTGTATAAATAAGCATTTATGGATGTATATCTACTCATTGGTTCATATTTGCGTAGCTACACATGTATAATATATATATATATATATACCACCCCCTGCCCCTGCTCCTCTTGCCCTCTCTAAACAAACACATTTATATGCTCAGACACACACACCTAGATACATGTACATATACATAGCAAAACGGATCTCAACGTCTGAATGATAAGATGTTGACGTATACGTTGAAGTCTCTGTATATAAATTTTGCCTCCCGAATTTCTCGATTTTGCTGGGCCTGTTATGTATTCATGTAAACTTATGCTGTCACATTCAAACTGTAGTGTGCTACATGACTGACTTGAATGTCTATGATTTGAAAGCAACGCATACTCACATAAATGTATTTCCACTTATGGTAAGATATGGCTAGTTTTCACCATAGTCTTTCTCGACATGCAACTTTACCAATGGTTAAAGCAATATACTTAGACTCCCGTGTCCCTATGCGCTTTAGAAAAGTTATACCATGTTTTACAAAGTTTTAGGTATATTAGCACATCTGCGCACGTACTGGCCATGACATTGGCGTGAATGTTCTTACTACGAAAGCTATAACATTATGGTCAGTAATATGCCGACCAGGATTCAGATAATTGATATCTGAAGTTAACTCTAATGGAACACTTACGGAATCGACACAGGAACGTCTATTCCCAAAGTGGAACTCATCGAACATGTGCCATGACAAATGGAGCAAAACTGTGGTGTCAAAGATAGAGCCGGCAAAGGAGAGGACAGACGAAGATCTCGCTAGCGAACAACAGAAGTATGTTCCCGTATGTTTAAGTGCGTATGCCCGTCGAAACGCGCTTGTATCAGATATATGCTTGTCTAGTATTCATTCTGTGAAATTGGGAGAGCTTGCATTGTACCGGTCAATCATGGGACGTGTAGCGGTTTTGGGTTAAAATGCTCTGTTTGTGTCGCCTGATACGCTCTGATGCGCTCTGAAGCTGTATAATTTGTGTGCGGATAACTGGAGTGTAATTCGCATGCGGTGTGTTTGGACTGCGGTATGGATGTAACCACTATACAGATTTATTTTGTTAATGCATGGTTAAGAGCGATCGTGATATTCACTACCACAATGTCAGTCAGTCTGATCCACTGTCGAGTTTCAGTGCGCGGTTCAAGGAATGTGTTAATATATTCGTATACGGTGTACTGTACGTCCAAAAAAACCTCAATACAGACGTTCATTTTGAATTTGTGTACTAAGATCTAGCCGTTTCTCAACACTGTATTGCACGCACGTACCATTAGCGTGTAAATCGGACGGAAGGACTTATACAATCTCAAGCTTGTATACGTACCTGCAAATCGTCGGTCTGAGGGGTTATAGTATCCTTCTTATTCGCAACTCCTAGGTACATGAAAGAGCACAAGAAAGATGTGTTAAAGTTTGCGGCGTTGAAGAATCCGGCACAAACTGAGACGATGATGTTGGAGAAGCCCTTCCTACTGAGCGAGTACGCTGCCAACTTCATGGTGGTGTATGCCGTGGATCTGGCCGTGGAAGAGAAATGGAAAGAGCTGGACGGTGTGATTGGCCAGATTGTGACTCTGCAGTTCATGCTTCAGGTGTGTGCGTAGATTGTGTATCTCAGTTGTGCTCTGCCGAGCTCTCATTGTTTCTGCCTGTAAATGCCTACCGCAGACACATGCGATGGATTTAATCCTTAGACATCTGTTTTTTTTCAGAGATAACGTATACAGACACGCGTATACCAGGGGTGTATATATTCTACGCCGACTCTTATTGACGGAATCGTGTGTAGTATTCTACATTGTACATTATTATCACATTTTCAACGTGAAGGCTCTATACTCAAACAGGTCAGAGGCTCCTCCAGTTCCCCGCACGAGAATCTCGTCAAGACCTTCTTTGTGCGCGCACACAAGGCGGAGGACGCCTACACAGAGGCGTTCAGGGACGAAACAAAGGCGCTTACAGAGCGTGTGAAAACCCGCGCCAAAGAGCGTCTGGCAGAGGCCTTGGCTGAGGTTGAAGCAGAGGAGAAAGAGAAGCGAATCGCTGAATCGCCAGGGGGCGTCGATCCGGAGGAGGTCATGAATGAGTTGCCTCAGGCTATGAAGGATGCTTTCGAGGTATATATCGCATAGATGTGTGGGCTTTCTTGGCGCGTGTGCATTTCAAACGGGTGATAGCTTGATTGTGGGCTGTGCAGCTAGTCAGTCATTTGTTCGCTTTATGTATGCACTAGGTAAGGTATATGGTTTATTAGAAGTTCGGTCGCATCAATCGTTCTCTTATATACCAATGAGAGATTTGTGTTCGCAACATGCATCTCGAATCCTGGCTCGGCCTGTGCAATGGCTATAAAGACTCATATCCTTGCTAGTGCAATTTGGCAAATTGTGTATTGCCGCTTGACATGCGTAGACCTGTCAATAACTAGCAGCTGGCGAGTTGTGCGATAGGTGTTTCATATGTTATCTATCGGTGTACAGACCTTCGGAGAGTCGGGCTCGATATGCAAGCGTAGTCCTCTTATTGCGAGTCTACAAAACTAGATTCGACAACCTAAACCGGTTGACTCAAGCAGTGCCATTTGCTATTGTTTTCTTGGTACCAGTCGCGAGATATTGCCAAGTTACAACAGGTCATCGCAGATATGGAGTTGAAGGATGCGGAATATTACATCGACAGGTGAGAGAGTCTTTCAAGTTCTGGGTGTTGGTCTTTATTTATTCTATTTTTATTTTCAGTAGTTTCGGTTATATGTGTCTGTGAATGCTGCGTTTTGGCCGGCTTAAGGTTGTTTGAACTGTGTCGTCTTCTGAGCTCACTGCCCGTAGTTAGTGCAGCTTTGTATACTGTAATCTTTAAGTGGTTAGTGTGGTTAAAGTGCGAGCGATGTGCTTATAGATTGATACGTATAGCTGACTAATCCACTTTCCTGGACTTGATCTTCTAGTCTTATATCAGCGTTCAAAATTATGCATATTTGGGGATGAATTTAACTCTCAAACCTTGATATGCTTACATTTTTTACATTATTTAGATGTACCAAGTCTGGTCTGTGGGTGCCCGGGGAATAAACCAATCGGACAGAGGACTGCTTGAAGATATGGATTTAAAGCGTTGTCTGTTCTAAAATCTCCTCCGGAGACGGTATCGCGCGTGAGCGTACGCGTCTCTTAGTGGGGTACTAGTGGTAACTATTCCAGGAATGTACGAATGCGCTCGAGTAAACAAACGAGCCATATACGAGGAAATAAACACATGCGATAAACAGTAAACTGATTACGGGAGGAATAAGTATCGCCTCATTTTCTGCTAGCTTTTGATCGAGAAAGTGCTGATAAGTTATCTGAATATTCTCTCTACCAACGCGTGATTGGGAGACATTTTGGTTCATTGAGTATAAGTAGCGCCTCCTTCTCTGCGAGCTGTAGATCGAGAAAGTACTAGTTAAATTAACTGAATATCCTCTCTACCAACGCGTGATCGGGAGACATTTTGGTTCATTGAGTATAAGTAGCGCCTCCTTCTCTGCTAGCTGTTGATAGAGAAAGCACTGTTAAAAAACTGAATATTCTCTCTACCAACGCGTGATTGGGAGACATTTTAGTTCATTGAGTATAAGTAGTGCCTCCTTCTCTGCTAGCTGTTGATCGAGAAAGTACAGTTAAGTTAATTGAATAATCTCTCTACCAACGCGTGATTGGGAGACATTTTGGTTCATTGAGTTCTACTTGTATGAGCGGCTCAGAACCATGAGCGGAACAAATGAGACCTCTGTGTATCTACTAGAGAAAGGTATAGGAGTAAATAGTAGATGGTTAAAAAACTCCGAAAGCTGTTCGAAAATCTATATCTTCACTATCCACTACGCCTGACATATATGACCTCTTTCTGTATTTAGAGAATGTAGTTGATAGTCGATAGTTAAATACTCCGAATTTCTATATTTTTATTATCCACTACAGCATGACCTTGCAACTAAGACTAAATTGACAGGTGTGACCCCTATATATATAGAGAGAAAGTACAAGTTGATTGTAGATAGCTAACATCTCTTTCTCCACTACAGCATATGCTGACAACGATTTGGCAGATTCTGGTGATATACACTTGACAACTACAAAAATGTATTGACTTCATTGTAAGTTTTAACCCATATGTACACTTATTCTTTTTATTGAACGTTATAAAAATATGATGACAATCGTATATGCATAGTCCGTGACAAAGGGAAGTGACACCTCTCCGTTCCCATGTGCTGCATAGCCCTTTAAATAAAGCAAACATCTACGCATACGAAACATATTTACCGAGCAGAGCTCATAGCATGTATGTATGAGAGTGCAACAACTAGTCAAATACTTTTTGTGTAGTAAGAATTAGATATAGGAATGATGGCCTGGTAATGATATCTACACGCAGACGCAAAGTGTATCAAGCCGTTCAATACAATAGCAGCCAGAACTGGGCTAAAGGCTTCGCTGAAGAGGCAAGTGTGATTCTGTACTCATCTGAACCATCATGTGCCTGCGAAAACTGCCAGATATGATCTGTGTTCTCCTAACTCCTACAGTACACTAACGGTGAAACCAACAACTTCGCGGGATCTCAGGTCAGAAATGCGTGCAGTGACAGGCATGCCAATGGCCGAAATCAGCACCAATAGCGCACAGCCATCATGAGTAAGATAACTTTACAAGATGGGATAGTCGGTTCAACATTACTATGCGACCTTACCTGTCTCGGTGGACTACGAGATGTCCGTCACCTGCAACGACCAACCGGATCACTACCTTTCCCAATTGGCACAGCCTGTTAAGAGTGGTAAACACTTGGGCTATGCTCCAGGTAAAAGCGACTGATACGAATACATTACGTGAGCGCAAGAACAATTATAACGTATCGAAAGCAGAACATACATTGAAAAATAAATTTCGAAAATATGCGAGTATTATGTGTGAAATAGCATAAGCCCATAACGAGATCTAACCAAAGCATAATTATTCATTGCATGCAATTACAAAGCGCTGCTGTTTCGTAGATTTTTTTTTGTTGAGAATCCAGCCATGTGCGATGACGCGTCTTGAGTGGACGAATGTCACTAAATACAAAAAAAAATAACGAGAAGAGAGAACGAAATAGATCCCGTACAATGGGGAGGACTGAAGTAATACAAAGATAACGGAAGGTTTCCGAAATAAAAAATTGCGACATTTTGAGTGATGCGTTATTTACATTGGCGAGGTCAGCGTTCGAGAATATATATTTACAACGAATCTAAGCACGTTGTGCATAAGATGTTATGTGCACATGCATCGGATTAGATCAATACATAGGTGCATCGAAAGTCCCAATTCAATCGCAATAATCCCATTCCTCATATCAACAGATTATCAATATCATAGCATTGGTGATATTCGTAATACGACTCAGCGTCAGGCGATGAATGAGTGACAAGGGTGATTCGTCCGAGCAAAGCGGTCATGGATGGTATCTCAAAGACAATCTTTCAAATAGTATGGCATGAAGCGATTGCTTCCGTTCAGTTACATGCCGTTTCAGAAAAGATGCGAGTAGTATAATCATCGTTAGCAACTGCACAGGGTACTGAATACTTGCTGCTGTGTTGTCTTATGTTCTCATCATTGCTGAGCGGCTCCCTCGCCACCAGCCTTCGCCTGCTGTGCGTAGTACTCCTTCCATTGCTCGGCCCAGATCTTTTGTTGTTCCGTCTATTAACATGAAAGAGATGTGCAGACACACACGAACGTCACACGAGCGTACCATGGAACAGGGCAGACATGACAAACGCGAATTCAAGTATACATTTTTGTGCAAGGAGGAAGTGTAATGGGGTTGTTGAGAAATAGGCCAAATGTCCCTTTGATTTTTGAAAGGTCAATATAGTGTCGAAGTCATAGTAAAATCAAAGAGAATTTCTGCAGTACTCGATATAAAGAGTTGATAACCCATGCTGGAGGAGACACGCACACACACAACACCATTCAAGCCCAGCATTCCACATCACCAACAGTAGCATCACAAGCAAAATACAACAACACACCCTCGCGTATACCTAGACGTCCATACACTTACCCATTGCTCGCTGCTTTGTCCCGCGCTTGCCCCTTGCTGCCCTTGTTGTTGATTGTACTGTTGTTATCGTTATCAACGTAGTGAGTTTATACTGGACAGGACGTTTCAACAATGCCAATGGACGTACCAATAATCATATTGCGAGCGGAATCAACACATAAGAGATTACTTTCAGAATGTAGAGCACAGTGCTTGTTGGCAAACAAGCGTCTCCATACCTACTTTCTCACACACAACACAAAACAGCACCATTCATGCAAACACATACCATCTCCTGTCCCGGTGGTGCAGGCTCTGACGACGATTGTTGTGAAGATGCGGTATAACCGCTCTGCTGACTGGCTCCATACCCACCCGCAGCGGGGGCCTGGCTGTTGTAACCACCCGCCCCCTGACCCTGCGATTGCCCGTATCCGCCAGCAGCCGCACCTTGGCTTCCGTAGCCACCTTGTGCCGAGGACTGGTTGCCTTGTGAGCTACTACCATACCCGCCCTGACTGCCAGCTCCATACCCGCCCTGTGCGCCTTGCTGGGCTCCAGGTGCTCCATACCCGCCCTGGCTATCTCCACCCGGGGCGCTAAAGCCGCCGCCACTAGGCCCAGTACTTGACCCCCCTGGTGCGCCCTGGCTGTAGCTGGAGTCGCGTCTATCCTGCCCGTAGCCTCCAGATTGTCCCCCCTGGCTGGGTCGGCTACCATAGCCACCCCCCTGAGCGCTCTGGCTGCCGTAGCCCCCACCTTGACTGCCATAGCCGCCTGAACTCTGTCCTCCAGGGGGTCCGTACCCACCCGGCCCTGCCTGGCCACCTCGAGGTCCATAGCCTCCAGCTCCCTGGCTTCCGCCTCGGCTGCCATACCCACCGCTTTGTCCTCCGGGTGCACCTTGTCCCCAGGAATTAGGATCGCCAGGTGCGGGTCCTCGGCTGTTGTAGCCACCGCCACCGCCCATAGGGCCGCCACCAGCCTTCTCCATAATCATTGCCCGCGCGGCTGCAATCTCCTCATCGGTTCCGTTGACCAGGAAAAACTTCTCAGGCCCGTACTGAGGTCCGTCTCGGTCAAGCTGGACACGTGCACCAGTCTCTGCGATGATCATCTTGATGGTTTCACCTCCACGGCCAATGACCAGTCCAACCTTTGTACTGTCGACAGGGATACGCACATCCGGTCGACCGTCGGAACCACCCATGCCACCATGGCCGCCCGTACCTGTTAATAGTGGAAGATCATTATATTGAACTTGAACAAGTGCGGACATATGTGCAGAAAAATAATAATAAGCAAGACGCAAGCAGACATAAAAATATATGGACTGTCACTGTTGCAGCGAAGGAAAATCGATCAATGTCAAGCAAGGGTGAACCTCTACTTGATGTATAAGCTCAACCCATATATTAGACGCTATCACAAAAAATGCACACAAAGCCTGACCGGGCTACATAACTATAACCTTCGCATCTCATCAACAGCAACCACTCACCTCCACCCATACTGCCGCGGCCCTGGCGCTCTTTGTGTTGGTTGACGATCTCCATCACGGCTGCCTCGCCTCTCTTGACACTCTCAGCAAATCCTTCAATGGTCACCACGCGTTCGGGCCGGCCCATGTCCTGTTCCAGCTGTATCTTGGCCCCACTCTCCGCCTGCAGTCGCTTGATAGTGCTACCGCCGTGGCCGATGACCAGACCCACCCCGTCGCTAGGGATCCTGATCTCCACCTTGACTGTGCCGTACGGGGACTCCTGGTAGGACCCGCTCTGTCCACCAAACCCTGAGTTGCCTCCGCTGCCCATACCCCCGAAACTACCCCCACGAGCGCTCCCGCCGACGGTGCTGTTGTCGTAAGGCGAGTCTGCGATGATCTCTTCGACCATCTTCTTGGCAATGGCCACCTTCTCTCTATCGCCAGAGATGACCACAGGCTTCTCAATCGCTCCTGGTGGCTGGTTGTCCTGTATCACCTGGATGCGAGCCCCACTGTGGGCCTGCAATTCGCGAATCTTCTCACCACCACGCCCAATGATCACACCCACGCGGTTGTTGGGGCACATGACCTCCACGCGTTCTTCGGGCTCAGCGTTGCCGCCGGTTGAGCTACTGGACTGAGATGTGTCTACTACTTCCTTGATCAGAGAGCGTACCTTGGCGATAGAGGCGCCGTCGCCGGTGATAGTCACACGGCGGTGCACGCCATCGTGCGAGTCGGGCGCAATCTGCAGGCGAGCGCCGCTCTCGGCCTGCAGGCGCTTGATGGTTTCACCGCCTCGACCAATGACAAGGCCAGCTGCGGAGGTAGGTATATCGTACACATCCGAGGTGGGCATGATGGATGATTGGTCGTACCCCAGGCCAGTGTTGACACGCTTGGCTGCACCGTCATCGTCGCCACCATCGTCGTGGGGTCGCTTAGTGCCTGCACTTGCGGCGTTAGCGTCCGCTTCTGAGAGAACCGGAGGATACTGCGTATTAGATTGTGTGAGGGTAACAACGTCTCTAGGGCTACCGAGAGCTACGATTGTAATACGAGACAGACCTAGAATGTACATGAACCATATCGTAGTGCATGCACCATACAGTAGTGTAGTTGGGCACACTGCAGGACATGGACATGGCTTTGCACTCTGGAAAGTGCTTGGGCAGGCCTCTGCTCCACGCCCATACAACGACCAAGCAGAAACATCACATCAGCCATAACATTCTCCAACAGGGCAAGTAACAACACATCCGCCACCCACGGCTATTGACGCGAATATATGAAGGCGCGGACTGTAACATATGACCTACGCATATCCTGAACACTCTTGGGATAGCGAACACTCGTGTATGAACACAGACCATACCTCCAGTGGCGGTGTATGCAGCAGCCGCAGGGGCGGCTGTGGCTGCGGGGGCTGGCTCACCTTTGGCAATGGCCGATGCCCGGTCCTTTGCCTGCTGCAGCATGTCTTGGAAGTCCATCTTGTATGTGTCCTCAGGAATATGGGTATTCTACGATGTATGTATACAAAGAACGACGTTAACACAAGCAACCAAATTGTAAAGGTACTGTATATGCATGCGACTATTGAGTTGACTAGCATGATAAGAAGACCTGCTGACGGCCTGGCAGCATGTCATAGACATCTTTTAACAAAGAGACGGCAGTTGTTGCGTGACGGTTCATGTATAATCGCCAATGATCATTCGACAAGTAGGTATATCCACATTCACACGAAATTCAATACCAAGGCAAGGTACATAGTTGAACGTAGTAGCTCCGGTGCACGATTAGAGATATGCACACCAGCGCTTATAAGTGGGCTATATCATACATGGAAATGGCTGTATGTCCTTATCGATAAGCGTGGGGTTGATTACTTTCACTCAACGTTATGCGATATAATTTTTATAGCGAAATTGGTGGGACGGATAGTGTAGATAGACTATGTGCGATATATACACATGACAGCGTCTACATAGCTGTAGGATACAAATAAATTGTGTGCTTTTGTTGTGGTTGTGGAACCAGGTTGTAACACAGAAGCACATTCAAATGCTTCTAGTGATACATCCAGGTGATAGTAGTAGCTGGATTGAAATGTATGTAAACCATTGTAGTAAAAAAAAGATGTACCTTATGCATGCATATATATATATATATATATAGATTTGTACTCACAGGCCTGACTTGATGTATTGAATAGTGAGATAATGACATTAATCCGAAAACAGCTCAACAATCTTACTACACTTGACACTCAAAGCATATAAATATACGTGTAGAAGCATATCTAAAATATGCTATACGAAGTACTTGCAAATACACTATGCATATATTTGCATAAATTACAGGGAATATATATAACAATCCAATAAAGTATATTAGCATGTAAAACAGACGCACACGCACACACACACGCACACACACACTCTCTCTCACACACACACATATATATTTATATATATACATACATCAATACATATATAATACACACACACACACACACACACACACATGTATATATATATACTAAATATATACATACATATATATATATATATATATATATATATATATATATATATATATATAAATATTACAAACCCCAGGCATGCGCGTCTATTTAAAATACACTGAGAGGAAAAAAAATGGGACCATTCCAGACACAACAAATAAGCATCTCTAATGTCCTCATAGACGTATGTCTAGATTCTGATCATAGGTCTGAACAGACCAAGGCTCAATCTCTAAATCCACATTGTGGTATCGCAAAACAACACTGACAAACACTTCCAAAACGCGGACTATACAATCTATTGCCAGATGTTCAACACTAGAAACATAGCCCTGGCCCGACTTACGATATTTTAAGCATATCTAACATACCAGAACCACGTTCCTTGCTCGACTGTAGTTTGTGTGTGCGTGTATTCAATGCTCCTCACGACCTGACTTGTGTGTTAAACCGCGAACACACATTCAAAACGTCGAAGGTACTTCTTGCTTGTTGACCAAATTATTTACCATTTCACAAGACGAGTGAAGATAATCACAACTCTTGAACTCACACGACTACATAGACCTCATGCAAACTTTTAAAAAGTTGTAAATAAAATGGGGTTTGCAACAAGGGTTTCAGTTTATTATTTTAGTTTTTCATTTTTGACAACGAAAATAATTCTCTATTTATTTATGTATGTAGTTTCCGACAGTCTGTTTTATATTGTTTTTTATTATTACAAAAAACAGAGGGGTTGAAAAGAACTATGTACATATAATATATAGCTTCAAAAAATTGTGGCCTATTGCTGAGTTTTGATATATTTGAAAAACAAATTTGTTTGAAATTGGTGCCAATTTAGAGGGCTATGAAATTGGTTGATCAGGAAAAACCATTTTCGGACTAAAACCCTGATATCGTAAACGCAGCTCGTGTTTAGGGTTTTTATAGATATGAGTAGAATTTGAGAGGACGAGTCTTTTGGACTCTTGGTTGACGACTTGGCGGCGGCGCTTGGGATTTAAGGATGCAACGTGCACGAGGGAGACCGTACGTAAATTTGTGATGAGAATAAGCCACAATCAAGCAATCTGTATCAATCATATAAATATAAGAATTGTTTGATAATTTACATCATTGACCTTACTCTACAGGATTTCATTTCTATAGTAAGCGTCTGTATCTTGTTCTTTCCGAACTAGACACATTATTCAGACTCGATGAAGAGGCTGATGCTTATGCATGCAATTGGATGCGGATGTTCCCACTCACGTTAGTGTACGGGTCCATCATTGATGATAATCATCATGCAGGGCCTCACTGAGAGTCCACTATTTTTTAAAATTTTAAAGAAAATATACGATACATTTTTGAACCGTCAGCTTTGTTTTTTATCACATCATTTGTCATGCAAGAATGTTTTATGCGAGACTTGCTATTGTTGTTTGACCAATTTGTAATCAAAAGTACTGCAATACGGTTTGAGCTTCTTTTTTTGAGCTTTCAAATATCACAATCGGAATTGCGACTGACACTGCATGACGATAGAAATAAGGACGTACATGTTGCTCTGCTCGTTCCGTGATCCACTTGCCCGTGAAAAGTGGATGAAATTCTCCGTGTGCAAAACGTTTTTAAAGGTGCTAAATATGTATATTAGTTAACGATTCAAGTTTTATTTATATCTTGAAACGTTTAACACAAATCTCGGTACGCTGATAATCTAAACTTCGCCTCGCTCCTAGTAGAATATAGTACAATAAATATAGGGTCCAAGCTATATCACATGCATGTGAAGCATCATTGCTTGTAGTGCAAGGTGTAGCAAGAGACATGCTCATGTGTGAAGATGATGAATTATGCTTCGCCTCACTCCTGCTAAACGAAGTTGTGAAAGAGATCCAATAGGTGAAAAGACCATTCAGGCTATATCCAAGATATGCCTTTATATCGTTTACAGAGAGCATGATAAACCATATTTACTTCGCATTACTCCCGGGTTGAAGTGTTGTAACATCAAATGTGACCATTGCCGTTATAATCAGATGAAACCATCGCCGCTGAAAAATTGATTACCATTATGCTAAAGCAACAAGGTGTAGTAGTCAAATTAACCTGAACAATAGGGAAGAGCATTGCGATGCATCTTACCAACTTAATTCACACCAAAGCGGCAAAGTGTCCAAGTATCGAAGACAAATAAAGACTATCTATGAAAGAGGAGAAACTGCAGAATACGAACTATCATATTCCTCTGGCAACCACGATGATTCACGTCTGGTACCTTGTCTACTCGCAGACTTTGTGGTAGCCTTGATTTACGAAAGAGAGCTTTTTTACAGATTGAATTTAAAAAGGATTTTGGCTGGCAACTTCGAATATTCAGAACAATTGTTTCGACTACTAAATATTGACTTTTCGAGACCACCACGTCTTTGCTCACAACATTGAATCGAAGGAGTGGTTCATTGATTTTCCATTTGTTTTTATACAGATTCATAGGATAACATTTCTATTCAGAAGTCTTTTGGAGATGTGATAAGAATATACATGAAAACTTATACACTAAACATACAGTTGTATATAAGACCTATACAACAGCTATATTATACACAGCTACACTCGCTATCGTTCACACTTTTCTCTTGCTCTTTCACATATAAATATTATATATACTCTCCATACATTTTACATATAAAATCTTAATTTGTAAATTTCGTCGCATCTTATCACTGATTGGTGTTCTGATAAGCTCTCACAAAAAACCAACACAGTTTTGAGTTTAGACTTCAGTGAACACTGAACACACATCATTGTCATTATCAGACGGATATGTAAATAAATAAAGACAACAGCTATTTTTGAGATAGTAAGTATTCAACACCACATATACAACGTCATAGGTAGTTGTATAGTACATAGCACGACATAATACTTACCATAACACACCTCACACACCTCAGGCACCATACAAACAACAGTATATACAACCCACGCTTGCATACTCAAGCTACGACCATGAACATTTCCCAGGCAGTCGCGTTGCTGGACAAGGTGTCTAGCAAGGCTGACGATCTCGAACACAAAGTGATTATCATAACCAGTGATCTAGAAGCACAACAGAGTCAGGATTTGGCTGCTCTTTCTCAAGTAAGTGATAGTAATAACAGCCTTCTCTAAATAAGTGGATGGAAGCATTAATAGTGGAGAACCTTCATGCTCACGCTCGGAAAATAGTGTTGGTGCTATAGAATTCGTGTGATGCACCTGCTGTTGATACAGTGACCTCATTGTATTGTGACGGTTCTTTTTTAATATCCACAGAATATCTATAAAGCTACTAATATATGTATGTATCTCTATGCCGACTCAGGTTGCTCGCCTTCACATAGATATAGTGAAGTTTATTCTGCACAACAACCACCTTTTGTATTGTAAACGTGTATTATCAAATTGTCAACCGTGCTTACGGTTGCCAAGTCAGAAGTTACCAAATTCATGAATATGTTTATAAAGGACCCTTCAAGAATGCACCTTGACTTATATATTCCTAAGCATAAAGTTTTATACTATTTAAATGTGTACTGGCACGCCTAAGAAAATCCAGTGTCTATGCACATATATATTTCAGCCCGAGTGAGTACAGATTCAAATATGTCAAAAACGACTGTATTTAAATATCTACGAGTGTATTTCCAAGAATGAAAGAGGTAGCAAATGGGGAACGAAAGTTATA